CAAGGAGACAGCTGAGTGGCAGAAGCACCTGCCTGGCAAGTATAAGGTCCTGAGTTCTGTCCCTGGTATAAATAAGTAAGTAAACAAATAAATAAGATTATTTTTTAAAATTAAAAAGAATAGCAAGGGACCATGAAAAATCAGTCCATCAGCTACAAAGAAGATATAAAGAAGAATAGCACACAATTGATCTGAATCAGTTAAAAGCAGGAGGGTTGGGGAGACAGCTTAGTGGCATACATGTCTGCCTAGCAAACATAAGGTTCTGCTACTTCAAGCCAAGACTGACTAATAGAGACAAAGAATGTCACTATATCCTTGTAAAGTGAACAATATAAGAGGAAGAGATAATAATGATAAATATATATGCACCAAATATCTGTGCAACTAACTATAAAAAACAAATATTAACAGACATGAAAAATCAAATAAGCACTAATGCACTTATTTCTTTAATGATTAGTATAATTTTAATTTAAAAAATATTTATTTATTTATTTGGTTCAGGGTCTCACTACATAGCTAGGACCCAAAGTGATCCTCCTGTCTGAGCATCCCCAGCTCTGGGATTACAGGTGTGTGCCACCACACCCGGGTTTGGGGCCTACATGGCACAACCTGTGGTATTGGGGATTAAACTTGGGATCTCATGCTTACCAGGCAGGTGCTCAGACTGCTGAGCTATCTCCCTAGCCCAGAACTAACACAATTGTAATGGGGACCCTCAACACCACACTGTCACAAAGAGATAGAGAAACTAAACAACAACAAAAAATCAATCAATATAAGAACTGAACCAAGCTTCTGAAACAAATGGACTTAGTAGATGTCTATAGAGTATTCTACTCTGCAACATCAGAATGCACATTCTTAGGTGCACACAAGATGTTCTCCAAGATAGACCAATACTAGCTCATAGAGCATGCTTAACTAAATGCATTGAAATTATCCCATGCATATTATCAGACCATAGAGCAGTGAAATTGGAAATCAACATGAAAAGAAACCACAAGAATGTCATAAACACATGGAAATTAAATAGCACTTTCCTGAACAATCAATGAGTCACAGATGAAATTAAAGAAGAAATTAAACAGTTTCTACAATTAAGCAATACAATATAACATACCAGAACTTATGGGATGCAATGAAAGCAGTTCAATGAGGGAAATTTATAGCAGAAAGTTCTCATATTAGAAAAAGTGAAGTCAAACAACTTAAACCTCAAGCTTTTAGAAAAAAAAAAAGCAAATCAAACCCAAAGCTCATGGGGCTGGAGAGATGGCTCAGTGGTCTAAAGCACCTACTTGAAACAAGCTTGGCAAAGCACAGGGACCGCGGTTCGATCCCCAGCACCACATGCC